ACGGTAATCTTACTTCAAGGCACGTACGATGCGAGTGAAGAGCCCAACTGAAAACGGTAAATTCTTTGAGGTGCGCCATCTACATCAATCATACGTGTAAAAGAGAATTCTTACAGGACCCATATTTCACGCAACGTCCGAATTTGCCACTTTTCGAAGAAAAAAAGTGACCTCCAAAACATTCTTACCATTAACAATTCCCGAGGTATCCATTTGGTTAGATTCCTTTGAGGTATACTGTATCACAGCCAAAGAAAACAAAAGACGTAAAAAAAAAGAGAAGCCATGTCCCTTCTACAAATCAATAACGCTGTTCCACTGATGGAACCCTTGATAGAACAGAAAACAGGGGAAGATACCAAACGAACAAACMGAGATTTTAGCGTTAACCGCACAAAATTTGCTTTCCTTGGAGTGATTACRGGGTTTTTYATCCAAGTTATCTCGCTAGGAGCGTATGCCTTCCTTCTGGTTCACTATCGGGAYGTTCCCCTTGAGTTGTCGGAAGATGGTTTCCAGACCGATGCCGCATTCCTAACAGAGAGCGGATTCTTTCGCACACCGACGAGTAGCGAAAACGACGAAGATRATGACGCCATGTTCGGAACCAAAACGTTCCTCTACGCTATTGTATCGGTACTGACGCAAATTGATCTCATCGCCTACGTATTTATTTGGGTGGCCTTCACCTGCACCATGACACACAACGGAATGGCCTGCATTCGATCCCAGTTCTTTGGTCAACCCCAACAACAGTTTGACGAGGAAGATTGCAATAAACAACGCAACAAAAACAGCAAACTAATCAAGCGACGAGATATCTTTGTTTCTGGGGTTTGCTTTTTGGTGGGAATTGTTCTYGGAGCATTTGCTGCCTGGTCTGCCATTGACCTTTACCTTGGCTTCCCAATTCCCTTCAAGCCGATTATTTCCACAGTGGTGGTTGATTTGATGCTCTGCTATCTCATGGTATGGTGCTACGATCTGGGGGGCAAGAAAAAAGGGAATGAAGGATCGAAAGATAACGAAGAGGACGAGGAMGAGGACTGCCAACAAGAAATTTGCTGCTAGATGAATGAATCGACTCATTCCGTCAACCCYACGCCCATCAATGACACGAGTCATAWAATGATCGATTACCAAACAGATTTCTGGTTTCACTATGCTTTTTGGAAGAAATTTGACAGCAAGATGACTTCTATTTCAAGAATAATTTTATAGTATTTGTATRCTTGTACGTTGTGGCGCTTGTTTCTACGGAGAGTATTGCTGCTATTGTCGTCTTATGATGGATTCCTTTGATTTTTATTCCGGTGGCAATTAGCAGATTGAGCCAAAACAAATCATTTCACCACTTCCTTGATACTATTCAGATCGTGTTRAATTGGTGGGACGCCGTAAAGAAAAAAAGCGCTTCTTACCTACTCTGTTGCCAAGGCCACACAACATACACTTCGATAGCCCAACTATTGTTTGAGTACGACAACTCTTTGCTCACTTCAATTCAATTCACGTGGACRTTTATTRACTTAATTACTGAGTAGAAGGTYATGTCGTATGTCCTTTTAATCAGCCACACAGCCTCTTTGAAAGTCAAAGACGGCCGGTTCACCGGCGTTGTATTTCGCRATGAATTGATTTATGCTATCCAAAAGTTCCCAGTCTCGACAAGCAATAGGAGGGAGGTTACTGTTTAATAAATCATCAGTGAATAGATACTCAAAGCTGGCTCGTACGTCCAGGGGGGTCGCTTGGATGGGCGAGGCGAAATGGCTAGTAATGACACGATCGTAGTCCCACTTCTTGTACCTTTCGTTTCCATTTGCGACAGTCGAAGTTGTTGTTTGTGTTTGCTCCAATATCCAATCTCGGACGGCCCCGGGAGCTCGAGCATCAACTACGGCACGCAAAATGGGAGCCCGTGCTAGTCGATCGACGACGGCCTCGTAACCGGGATACTTATTATTGGGTCCCTTGCGGAGAGGCAAAAAGACGGCCTGTAACACGCTTTTTGGCCAGAATTCTGGATCGCCCTTGATAACGGTATCTTCGTCAAAATACGTTGACAAAATGCTACTCGGCTCACTAGGAACATAAACTACAGCGTCTGTGGTTATAAGTGTCTTCGAGGGCCGGTGGCAAAAGGCAACCTCGGATACTGGGCCTGCATTTTTCGGAAGATTGACGTAAAGAGTAGCAATATCAAACTCATCACTCCACGGTGGTGGAGGGCTTCTCTCGTCACCAAAAATCCCATCGACGTGGTAACCCATTCTAGGCTTCTCCAACAAGCTGGTGCCACAACTCCCTTTTTTATAGTATTGAAAGGAGAAAAACGCGAAAGAACATCAGTGGAGGTCAGATTATACGAAAATAAAGGGCATTGATTCACACGAAAGCCTTGCCGAAAGATTGACTTATTCATRGACTGGTGGCTCAACAAATTGTTCGACTTACCCAATGGGCCATACTGACCAGGAGCGATCCAAACTTTGGCATTCGGATATTTTTCCAAAAAGGCTTTCATCGGAGCTTTGTGTTCGAAGGCATTACACGGCAAAACGACGTGTTCGACTGGCCCACCAATGCTGTCGAGAAGACTACAAAACTCGCCCGTCGGCCACTGAGGAGAATGAACCCATAAACCTCCGGTCTTCTTCAAGCGCACAACGTTGCATCGAATCGTCGCAGTCACATTCGCAAAGGTCAACAATTGCTCCAATGCCCAAGCATCGCGACCCAGATCGTACAGGTAGGTAGCTCGGTCATTGAAAGGGGGTGTCAATGCCRGGAAGTAAGATCGACCAGCCTCTGGACTCGAAACGAATGGATTGCTGTAGTATTCCTTTGCTAATGCTGGACGAGGCTGTTGAGACACGCTTTCCCCACCGATCGTTGATTCTGCAGATGCCGGTGGGATCGTGTTTTGGAATGAAAGGGCGGATGCAAAGGCTGATCCTGAAATCAACCAATCTCGGCGCGTGATGATAGAGGATGGGGGCGGTGCGCCAGGAACGGATTTTCCATCTCCCCTGATTTTTCGCGGAGCATTTGCCGAGAGGGAAGAGACAGCGATGAAATCAAGGCATCCGAACAGAGCACCAAAGATGGTTGCTACCACGATTATCTGTTGACGACATTTAACAATCATTCCTGTCCTCACGTAGACACTTGAACTTTCGAAGAGATACAGTACTGCCTTTGGGGATGCTGGATTGGCATCAGCAATGGGAATTTGAAAATAGGTCCAGTGGGAAGGACAGTATTGACTGAATACTTACTCGTATCCAAAAATCGACGCACATTACTACTCGGAGTACGAGTACGTACGTACGTACCATTCTGAATACGGCAGTTTTTGGAACAGTTTTTGGAACACTTTTTGGAATTTTTTTGGATTTTGTTTGGAAGCATTTTCATTTTTCATTAGAATCCTTGACTTGAAAAATTTAGTCTCTCAGATACTACTATTAGATAAAAACAGATTGATGCCCAGCGACTAGACTCATGCCTAAGGATGCAAAAAAATAACTTTCTTGGGTGCAACAGCAATAGAAACTGGCAGTGTCACTACAATTCTCCTGCCATAGTAGTACTACTACTAGGTAGTACTAGTAGTAGTACTAGTAGTACTACTAGTATTAGTACTAGTAGTAACAACACAAACAACAGAACCAGCAGCCAGATGTTTCTTCCTGCAACTTGTAGGTACAGTAACCCATCAACTAGTAGAGGAGGATTGACTGCCAATAACTACTATGATGGTCTCCTGAAGTTACTTTAAACTTAAAAGGAATTGTAATTGTTGCATTGATAGTACTACTACTAGCTATTTGCAAATGCCAAAGGTGAACCACTAGACATCATACTAGTAGTAGTCATTCAGCACAATGAACATTCCAATAAAACAAAAGTCATCTTCAGGAGAACTAGTTAAGGTGAGGTAGAGCTGTGCCAAAATTTCAATGATGATAGAGGGAATTTACTTGAACATGTTAGTGCAAGAACCCTTTGTGAYCTTTTGCCCCTATCCGCAGGAGAGAGATCTGGTCTGTTGTCTTTCTCTTCTAGTGCTGCCYATGCAAGGGCAACTTCCTTCAATTCAGGGGACAAAGAATAAGGCAAAAGAGGCCATAAATTTTTAAAGTGAAGTTATGTACAAGATATTTAGTAAATCAACTGAAAGGAATTAATTTTGGGAGGAGTGGTGTCAAATTCTAGTTCTATTTGAATTAAAAATAGAAACGCACATGTGAAATTGACCAATWTGAGCCCTATGGTGCATGCTGTTTGGTGTTTTCCTTGGTTCTCTGCAACACATTGTTCGTGCATCTGAGCAAAGTTGTAAAACAGCTTTGAGAAAAATCAAATAAAATCTAATATCACTGTCCTCGTAGACCACCAATACATCTTTATGTGCTCTGCTACCTCTAGAAAAGTTTTCTCGTGCGCAAGTGAGGGAACTTCACGGGATGTGTTTTCAGTCATGGCAATCCTCAGCATTCCAAAAACTAGGAGAAAACGTTGTGCAATATGGTAGTAAAAGTCCTGGCCATTTCACAATTTTACATGTCGCGCGATGTTCCTTGATTGTATATCTAGACTACGTACTAAATAATCCTCGAAGCTGGACAAGTAGTTCTGAGCGCTGAAATATCGTCGCAACACTTGCTTGGATTACCATGCCGAAATCAGGATGATAAGTCGCTGTCGCGCACTTGTCCCCAGTCAACTCACCTTCTCCGCTAGCAGGAAAACGTAAAACGAGTCTCTTGATCTGGATTCTGTCAGCCATCCCATGAAAATTTGCACATGGCTACATCTGTTGTCCCTGTCAAACCCCTCGCGATCGACCATCCGGGACACCTTACGTGACGTAGTGCTCATTGATTGCTGTCCGGGTATTTCTCGATTTTAGTGCTTCCTTTGAGCAGATCAGGCACAATGTCTTTGCCACTTGCCCAGCCGCCTTCGCGTTTGGTTACCAAATCCCATACCTCATAGTCGGCCCTGTACAATTCTCGCACTTTTTGAAGCATTTCTGGAGTATAATACTCTTTGATTTTTCCGTCAGCTCCCTGAGCATGCCCAACAACATCCCAAGGGTCTGGTTTCCCGCGGGCTTTCGCTGATTTTCTCGTTTTCTTGCGACCAATTGAGTCGTCGTGACTCTTGTTCGGATCCTTTTTCCTGTGTTGTTGAAATCCGAATTCCCGCAGGTGCARCGGTGTACTGTCCACCTCGTCCTGTAGTTGAAACAGGGCATTGCAGCTATCCGCTCTTTGTGTCCGGTTGGATTTTCTGTTCCTGTAGAATTTTCCGTGCGACTCCCATAGGTCGACTTTTTCAAGCAAGGCTTTCGCATGCTCCGAAACACGGTCCAAAGTCCCCAAAAAATCGAAGCGATCGATTTTTTCCGACATCCCACAGCCCCAGACCTGTGGCCGCCAGTGCGGATCTGAGCACCAATGGATTCCCGTCAGCCCGGTAGCGTTCTTTCCATTCTTCGAATCGCGACAATATAGTGCGTCGGGTGGATCTTGATCGAGACCCACCAAAAAATCTTTGAACGTAAAATCTGACGTCAACTTCAAATCCTTGGCAACGGACCCACCGCGCCTCTTGATCTGAAGCTTGTCTAGATAAGCACTAAGCAAACGCTCCGCCGGGTCGCGCAAAATTGCAGCAAACGTCCACTCTTCGTCGTTCCAAATTTCTTGTTGCACCTCAGGTGCCAAGAGATCAAAGTTCCACATCTTTAAGTCCGGTTTGSCGTATGGAAGAGACAGATAATCGTGGGCTCCCATGACGTATCGTATAAACTGCTTCCAGGCGGTAATGCCTACTTTTGGAATCCCGCAAAAGGCCAGTTTGGCGCTTGGAATAATATATAGGTTTTGAAATGATCCAGATCCACCACCCCCAGTAAATCGCGAGCATCCGAGTTCAGGAAGACTTTGGAACGGAAATTGCGACGATGTGTTCCATTCTATTGGAGGAAAATATGGCGAAGGTCTCAGGCAGTGATTCAATTTWGKTTTCGTATCGGTCTCTYTTTGGCGCAGAGGGAATTTCTTTTTCTCGTGTCTGTCTCTAAAGGGGTAGAACCCATTGCCCTCTCCACCGTCCAGACCGTATTTACCGCAAGCCTGTGGAGTATAACAGATTCCTGAACACGTGCGGGCTTTTCCAGATAATGGACGCTTACGATCCCTGYGCTTGTTTTGTATCCAGTGGCTGCAGCACTGCGCGTTGCCTTCCAATATGCCCATGGTCGAGGGAGGAATCAGGGACGGGTCTAGTCGAAGTGCTTTTGGAAGTAC